GGCTCATGTGATTATGGATGCTGCGAAGTCCCATGATTTGCTGTCTGTAAACTGGAGGCCCAGGAAAACCACTGGTCAAGTTCTAGTCTAAGCCTGAAGGCCTGAGAACCAAGGGAGCCTATGATGTAAGTCCCAGTCTAAGTCTGAAAGTCCAAGAATTGAGGAGGTGATGGTGTAAGTCCTGGTCCAAGTCCAAAGGCCTGAGAATTGGGTTACCAATTGTATAAGTCCTAGTCTAAGTCTGAAAGCCCAAGAACCGGTAGCACTAATGTTGAAAGACAGCAGAATATGGGTGGCCCAACTCAGGCAGATAGAGTGAATTTGCCTTGCCTCTGCTTTTTTGTTCTACTTGGGCTGTCAATGGATGGAATGATGCTTACCCATCTTGGTGGTGGGGAGCATCTACTTTACTCAGTATATCAATTCAAATGCTAATGTCTTCCAGAAACACCCTTATAGACTTACCCAGAAATAATGTTCAATCAGATATCTGGACATGCTTTAGCCTAATCAAGACTTAACCCAGACCATATAAGATTAACTATCCACATAGTAAAGAACCAAGATAATAACAGATAAAGCTAATTTACTGTGATATTATCAATATATGAATCTGGACATAATATGATTTAGAAAATGTTATAATCTGGTAAGTGACGAGAAATAAACATTGGAAATGAAGATCTCTCTCCCCACCTCCTTGTCTTTTTCACTTTTAGTCTCTTCAAGGTCTAGCAAAGTGCCATTGGTATTCAAAAAATACTTTTTATTTTCTAATTCAATTTAGTTTTGTTGGAAGTATTATGACCCCAAATACAAAAATTTTAGGGCTTAAATTTTACTTGAACAGTGTTTAAGCATAACTCTACTGATGATCACTGTTTATCTTTTAGTTAGTCATTGAATCTGAGAAATGGAAGGGCTACCTAGATCTTTTCATCTAACCCTTTCATTTAACTTACTCTCAAAAATTGAGGGAAAAAAATCAGAAAAAATACATATGGAGAGAAAGAATGATAAGGTAAAGCAAATGGGGGAATTATTAACATTTCGGAAATCTAGGTGAAGCACGTATGAGAATTTTTGGGCTATTTTTGCAACTGTTCTTTGAGTCTGAAGTTATTTCAAAATAAAATGTTTTAAAAAGTCATTAGACACATGGAAAGCACGATAGTGATTCTCTTAAGCAAATATACTAATGCCATATTTTGCTTACTACATAGGTAACTTCTGTTCACTCAGCAAGCATTTATTAAGCATCTTACTGTGTGTCTCAAAGGATATAAAATGAATAAAGATATAATAAAGTTCCAGTTCTAAGCAATGCCATCTCATTGTTTACATCCTCAAGTGGCATCTTGATTTGCTTTTGACTGTTGCAAGGAGCAGGGCTTGAGAGGAAGGGGCTCAATTGGAAGCAGTGGCCTGGGTACTGAGTACTTGCCATCTTCCTATCCGCACAAACTTTATCTCCAAGTATGTCCCTAGGTTTCCTACCTATAAAGTCTTTGGAAATATCTGCCTTGGTTTATCCCCTATATTAAAGTAGTTAAAAGTTTATATCTGAGTTTCTGATTTTTATTTTCAGATAACTGAGTGGTCTTTTAAAAACCTTTCTAATGGTTTCATGGGGAAGCTATAAATATTACGTTTTAGTATGTTGTTAGGCCTGAACAGCTTACCTCAGGATAACGGCTCAAAGTAAAACTTCTGGGAATTGAGTGCTGAGAGATATTCTGCCATGTTAAATTTGACAGTATCTGTTCTTGTCCATAAATCTATTTTTGATAACAAGCAGTTCCTGAATTTCCAAGTTATTCTTACCACACTAACCGTGGCCGTGGCAGTTAACTATGCCCATGGTACTGATGGCTTTCCACAGATGGCACCGCATGAAGTTTTCTGCTGGCAGATTACTGTCAATTTAGTCCAGTTCAGCAAACCTGAGTTCCCACTAAGGACCGGACACTGATTTGTACATTGGACATGCAAAGATGAGAGTAGAGGAAACAGCCATATAAGAAAATAAATAGAGCACCAACTCATAAGTATAATCCTAGACACAGTTACAAAGGACAGAGTTGGCACTGAGAAAGAATTTTTAACTGTCTAGGAGAGGAGGAAGAGGAAGCTGAAGGAGAAAAGAACAAGGGTTTAAGACAGACAAATTCTTATCTACCATAGTGGGAAGTCAACAAATAAATTTTAAATGGGATAATCTGGAAATAGTGGTATTGGCATTAGCATGTTTATAAGCTTTATGGGGGTAAGTGGCAAAGGAAACAACCGTTGGAAGGGGCTGTATCTGGGAAACAGGTATCTGAGGAGGGAACGTATATGGCCATTATTTTTCATTGTCTACCTTGTAGTACATTTTGAATTTTGAAAATTGTATGCTTGTGTTACTTTGTTAAAAATTTTTAAGACATTTTTTAATCCTATGTCTTGGTTCTTTTTCTATTGCTGTAACAGAATATGAAAGACTGGGTAATTCATAAAGAATGGAAGTTTATTTCTTAAAGTTCTAGAGGCTAGGCAGTTCAAGGTCAGGTGGCCACATCTGGTTTGCTTCTGGTGAGGGCCTTGTGCTTTATCATAACATGGCAGGCGGCGTCTTGGAGTGAGAGGGGCACACCTAGAGCCAAAATGGCTTTTATAACAGACCCACTTCATGATAACTAAACTGCTCCCATGATAACCCATTAATCCGTTAACTCTTCGGTCCCCAACTCCTGGGCCGCAGACAGGTATTAGTTTGTGGCCTTTTAGGAACTGGGCCTCACAGCAGGAGGTGATCAGCTGGCGAGCAGGCAAAACTTCATCTGTGTGTACAGCTGCTCCCCATCGCTCACATCACCGCCTGAGCTCCGTCTCCTGTCAGATCAGCGGTGACATTAGAGTCTGATAGGAGCGCAAACCCTGCTGTAAACTGCGCATGCAAAGAATCTAGGTTGTGGCTCCTTATGAGAATCTAACGCCTGATGATCTGAGGTGGAGCTGAGGCGGTGATGCTAGCGCTGGGGAGTGGCTGCAAATACAGATTATCATTAGTAGAGAGGTTGGACTGCACAATAAATGTAACACTTGAATCATCCCAAAACCATCACCCCCCACTCCTGTCTGTGGAAAAATTATCTTCCATGAAACCTGTCCCTGGTGCCAAAAAGATTGGTGACCACTGCATTAACCCATGAATGGATTAATTCATTCATAAGGCATGACACAGTCACCTCTTAAAGTCCCCACCTCTTAATACTGTTACATTGGGGATTAAGTTTCGACATCATTCAAACCATAGCATCCTACTTACTCTTCTAGGCAAAACTCAAGTGATACCTTTTCCTTATATCCTGTGCTGTATGTAAATATGTACATTCCTTCATTTAGACTCACACATCAGTTCTTGAAACTCCTTCTACAATATCTGTCATACTCTGGTTGTTTACTTTTGTTATTCTTCTGCTAGATTATTACCTTTTGAAAGCAGGAACCATTTATCTCAGAATCTTCTTTGGTGCTTCGTTCCTTACATGAAGTTGACATAATTAACTTGAGGGTTTAGCCATGTTGTCTGTTGGCTCACATTTTGGAGTCTTGGTGGCATAAAAATTTAAATGTTCTAACTCAGATAAGGTGGTGCCAGCTGCTAAGCACTACTTTTCATCTTTTTTTGAAAGTGTAATTTCATCCAGTGCTCCTGAATCTGATCTGTAGATTTTGGTAGAATACTCTGTATTTAAGACTATTCTGGATTATTGATAAGAATTTTCGTTTCTCGAAAATTAGCTAATTTTTCATTTGGATGGCTATTGGTACTGTAAAGGTTTATTTCTGATATATGTGCATTTGTTTATTTAAATATAATAAGAACTCCTCATTTGATTCCAAGAGGACTGGTGTTCAATAAATTTAATCCTTTGCCATATTAGGGGATTAGTCGTTTTAATATTTTAATCCTATGGTGACCAATCAGAGTAATAGAAGTAGATTGCTCTTGAGGGAGCATTTGGTCTGCCCTCCTGGCTGTCTCTTCAGGCTCAAGAGAATATCCAAGCTATTCTGGGCAGATGGTAGGGTAAATTCTCTGCCAACACACAGCCCCACCCCTATGCTAACCCACATTTAAAGACATAGATGCTTCACCAACCTCATCACTGCTCTTTAAAGAGTTCAGTTGGTAAACCTAAACTCTGTTTAATTCAGCCTTATTTTTAATGTCAGTTTTTTGCCTCATAAAGGTATTTTAAATACTATTTTGAGATCTTCTTTAGCCCTTTAGTTCTTGCTAAGTTATCCTTAGGTTGATTGGGCCTGATTTTATATTAACAGAAACTAAATTAATCTTACACAACAAAATATGTACTGCAAGTATTATCTGATGTGATTCAACAAGTTTTTATCTCTCTCATAAAGGGTTACCTGTTCTGTGCTAACCACTGGGCTTGTGGCTTTATTAGACCCAAGAAAACTTTATGGAGAATGTATTTGTACTAGTCCTTAAAGGATGATAGATAGAATTTAGATAGGTAGGGATGACAGTGGGGATGGGTGGGCAAACAATGCGCAGTAGTGACTGTATGAGCAAACACACGGAACTGTGGAAGTGTAGCACATGTGTAGGAAACAGTAAGTCATCTGTAATATAACATGCTTAAAGGGAAGTTGTAGAAAACAAGGTTGGAGAGTTGAGTTCAGATTTTGGTTTACCTTAAAAGTCAAGCTAAATATTTGTATCTCTAAGTAACTGAAAGCCCAATTCAAACAGAGTTAGGCTCATATAACTAGATATCCAAAATAGGACAAGTTCTCTGATACGCTCAGTCTGATGACTCAAGCTCAATTTCTCCCAGCTCTACTCCCCTCTGTAGGTTGGTTTCATACTCAGCCAATAGCTGGGTGGGTGTCCCAGAAATTCAAAGCTTCATACTTCCCATGAAAGATAACAAGAGGAAAAATAGATTTTATTTTTCTTGTGATCTCTCTTAAACTCTTTCCTAAAGCCCCATTAGTGATAACTTCCATTATCATCTCCTTGGCCTTGATTGGTTCTGAGCACATTCCTATACCCCGATACCTATGGCTAAGAGAATGGTATCTGATGACAGGCTCTGACGTGGGTTCTTAATGGGAAGGGTGCCAGGACTACCACAGTTAGCTGAGTGATAACAGATTGGAAAGACATTTGCTTTGGGTGGGTTTATTTTATTTTTTAAAGAAAAGCTGGAGAATCTTTTCCCTTGGCGAGAGATTCCTAAGAGTGGTTGCATACATAAACTTTTTATACTAAATATTGAGTGGCAAGAAGGCAGAAATATATTTTTAGGAGTCAAAAAGTAATGTAAATATTTGGCTGCTACTCAGTGTGGTAGAGGTGAATAGTTTAAAAAGTTCTAGTAATACTTGTATCGCAAAACTGTGTTAAGATACTATTAAATTATCTGTAAGTTAAAACTCAGTAATTTGTAATACCATTTGCTTTTAAAAATCTGATATTTTAAGTTTTAAATTTACATCTTAAATTTTAAGACATATGTGTAATATCAGAATGAAGTTAATTGACTTTCCTAAACATTCAAGTATTTAAGGACATTTAAATTAGAGGAAAGAGAAAGAAACAAACAAGCAGTTAAATTTCCTGCGTAGCCCTGAGCACCTCCCTTATATCCAGAACTGTGCTGGCCAAGAGTTGTGGGGCTTTTTTCTGCCTGGAGTCAGCCCCATATATACATAGTTCAGGGACATCCAGAGATGTGGGTGGGGCTCGTGCTCAGAGTTTGTGGCCCCCACTCTGTGCTTACTCCTCTCTGGATTCCTCACTTTGAAGCTGCTATGGTCTTCCTAACCTGTCCTCGATTCTTCAACCAGTAAGACTTATCCATGTTTCTGTGTAAGTTTTAGCCTCCCTGCATAGCACTAACTGGGCACTCCTCTCAAGTGAAAAGCTATAAAAGATGAGAAATGCACCCAATGCCATACCTGTCTTCCAAGTGCTGACTCTCCAATATCTGCCTGCTCTTAGTCGCTCTCCGGTGCCATCCACTAATTACTTTTTATGTTTTATCCAGAATTTATCATTGTTACAGGAAACAGAACTCTCTTATTTTAATGGATATTAAAAGTCATAGGGAGAGTTTCAGCTAAATCTCAACTCTTAACGGGTGAGAGAATAGGTTTTGCTTTTAAGTGTGCCCCTGTTCGCTTTTCTGGACTTTTACTTTTAAAGTAGTACTGCATTATACCAGAATGATTATAAACATAGGCACCAAAATCACATGGCATTACTTAATTATAAGATGTTTATGATTCAGAATGTTTTTATTAATTAATATTAGTGTTGAAATGAAAACACAAGATATCTGTATTCTTAAAGAGAACTCATGGATGGATCCCCAAGAATATGTCCCCAAACTAGCGTAGAAGAAGAGTTGAGAAACACTAGCCATCCTGTATACTTAAATGAGAGCCTTCTGACTTTGTTATTCTCTAGTTTAAAAATCTTTCCATAAAAGGCACTCTCATAAATTGCTAGAGGGTATCTAAATCGATACAATCATTTTGAAGACAATGTAGCAATATCTTTCAGAATTACTAATGCATTTAATTTTTTTTATTTTTTTACTTTTAGTTTTGAGAGTATTATTTTTTGAGACAGAGTCTCACTAGAGTGCAGTGGCATCATCATAGCTCACAGCAACCTCAGACTCCTAGGCTCAAGCGATCCTCCTGCCTCAGCCTCCCGAGTAGCTGGGACTACAAGCATGCCACCATGCCTGGCTAATTTTTTCTATTTTTAGTAGAAATGGGGTCTTGCTCTTTTTCAGGCTGGTCTCGAACTCCTGATCTCAGCCAGGGAGTCCCACTCATTCACGCAGTGAGGCGTATCAGAACCTGAGTGGAGAATGTAGAGGAGAAATTTTTAGTTTGAAAAGAGATCTTTCAATTGCTTTGGAGTATAGGTCTTAAAAGGACTAATACAAAATTAGCCTATAGGATGATTTTATGTAGTGTAAGCATTTCCAATATTTTTTCTCTTTTTAAAAGTGAAGATATTCTTTAATTCATCTTTTTGTTCACTCATTCAGAGCAGGAGAAATTAAAGTTCTAATACTAAGGGATGATAGGGGATTTTATAGTAGCAGGCTGACACTTGAAGTTTCTGGACCTTAGTATCGCCTACTCCATTAAAATATTTGGCCGACCAAAACACTTCTATATTACTGCTTTAGAGCAATGTAGTATTATATTTGGGAAAATAGAAAGATGATTAAGAATGGGAGAGTTATTTTCTGTGTAAATAAAACTGTATTTTGGTTACCTTTCATCCTGTTAAATTTTTGAAAGTAAAATTTTAATCAGAAAACCATGTGAGTTCTTGAAATTGATTTTTAATAGAGTTTTCATACCACGCTCCTTTCTTCTTTCCTCTCTTTTTCCTGTCCATTCATACTTAAATTTGGATATTAAAATATCCCCAATCTAACGCATTCTACTAAGTGAAGTATCCCAAGAATGGAAAAACAAGCACCACATGTACTCACCATCAAATTGGTATTAACTGATCAACACATAAGTGCACATATAAGAATAACATCTATTGGATGTCGGGCAGGGGGAGGGGGGAGGAGGGGACGGGTATTTGCATACACAAAGAGTGCAATGCACACCATCCAAGGGATGGACACGCTTGAAACTCGGACTTGGGGGGGAGGGGGGTGGCAAGGACAACATACATAACCTGAACATCTGTACCCCCATAATATGCTGAAAAAAAAATACCCCCAATCTGATATTTAAATGTTTAAATAACAAGAGAAAGGGATCTGATTATAATGTAATTCATAAGTAATGTTCATTTCTGATTGTTTTTTCAAGTTACATGCAAATGACTATGCCATGAGCAATTTTAAAAAGCCTTTGAAGGAGTATGAATATAATCATTCTTGTTATAACACTAAGTGGGGTTTTTAAGCTGTAAAACCACAAGGATGAGAACAATGTGAAAGACAATGGCAACAAAACTTGGGCCAAGAGCCAACCTGACTTACACTGTAGAACTTCCAAAAGGCTGGCAGCATCAGTACCTGTAGAAATGAGGCTGAAAGTATTGCTAAACTCAGAAAGACTGCTTGAAATCTGTTTAAGAAGAACTCAGAGCCCCCAAATCCCTACCTTGCATCCCACAGCTAGTGATTATTCTTTCCCAACCCTGGCAGATACTGGAGTAAATTTACTCAGGAGAAGGAAATTGAGGCTCACTGGACTGAGGAACAGCAGGTCCAGCTGAGGCACAGAGGTCCCATAATGAAAACAGTGTGGTAAAGCCATGTCAGTGTGCCCCGTGCTGAGATTCCCAGCCCTCTTCTCTTGTCTCACCAGCTCCCAGAAAGCCAGCAATCAGGCCTTCAGCTCTCCAGGCAGGAAGTTAGAGGATCTTTCTCTGGGGAAGTGGGTGAGTTCCAGAGGAAAGACCAATTTAAATGGTGCAGCCAGATAATACTCAGTGAGGCTCACCGGCAACAGATTCTACTCATGCGCTGAGAGCTTTCGGTCAGCTGTTTAGTCCACATCTGTAAATGGGAGCAGACAGCAAAGAATTACCAGATCACTGGTAACCTAACCAACCTGAATTCTGAAAGATAAAGACCAAAACAAACTTAAGAAGGCGACATGGAGGAACCGAGAGTATACATGGAGAGGACCACTTTCAAAAATTCTAATAGTACATGGGAGTTCATTAACCCTTTTCTCTCCTTTTAGGAATGTTTAAAATTTTCCATTATAATTTTTAAAACTTCTCATAAGGGTAAGATATTGCACAAATAAAACAATACTAGCATATGGTAAAAAAGGAACATTCCAAATAAAAGAGCTCTTAAAAATTAAAAATACAATAAAATAAATAAAAACTCAGTAAAAGGTTTAGAAGTTAAATGAGAAATTTCCCAGAAAGGAAGACAAAAAGATAGAGATGGAAGAAAATGGTTTTCTAACCCTGAGTCCTCTATCTAGCCAAATTATAAACTAAGAAAAGATTGGCAGACATGTAAGATTTCAAGTACCCTTTCTCAAGAAACTGCTAAAGACTACATGAAAATGAGTAATTGGAGAAAGAGGAAGACATGCAGTATAAGAAACATTCTATCCATCGTAGGAGTGCAGGGAAGCACCAGGGTAATGGCGAAGGGACTTCACAGAATGTAATCTACACGTTACAAATCCAAAGTCTAGCTGAAATTTCTTTAGAAAGGTGAAATTGAAAGAATGTCTGGTGCAAGGGAATATCTTGGGAGAAGATCTAGACCACAGATCAGTCTGGCCTTCTGCCTGTTTTTTAAAGAAAATTTTGTTTGAACGCAGCCATGCACATTTATTTATACATTGTTTCTGGCTGCATTCATACCGCAGGGCAGGACTGAGTAGTTGCGACAGAGACCAGATAGCCTGCAAAGCCTGGAGCATTTTTTCTCCAGCCCTTTAAGAAAAAGCTTGCAGACCAGACCCAGGGAACTGATCCTAGACAAGTGGCTGAGAGCTTGTGGTTGAATTAGTTATATGTACATAGAAAATTAAGCAAACGAAAAACAATGTAGTTGCTTGATGCAGGGAAAAATAAAAATTGGACAAGAAAGGAAAAGTAGCCATGATTTATTCCATGGCTTAACTATGGATATCTTTACTTGATTATAATAATTTAAATGCCTAATACTGAGCTCTCTGAAATTACTGCACAACTCCATTGGGAAGATGGGAAGAATGTGTGTGCGTGGTTGGAAGAGAAGGAGGAAAGGGCTCAATCTTCATCTTCCATAGTGGGAAGACAGTAGACAGGCTTAAAGCTGAAGAGGAAACATGGTAATAAACACCAAGGTAACTGGCTAAAAGAGGTGAAGATCAATCCCTCTAGGGAGGGAGAAACAAAGGGAGAGGGACAGGACTGCCATTTTCACACAAGCCTTTGCTGACCTTTTAAATTGTGTACGTTTATACCTTTGATAAAGAAAAAAAAAAGACACCCCCCCCCAGCAGAATTGGAAAACAAAAAAGAAAAGAAATTCTTTCTCAAGGTCAACAAATACATAGTGCTGGTGCTGGCCCTTTCTCCTCTCACTTCCCTAGGTATCACTGATCATGACAGCCTGATTCCCTGGTGAGTCGACACACGGTCTCAGAATCGGTTCCAGTAGCCACTCCAATCAGTAAAAGTTGTCTCTATTCATGAAACCAATATCTATCCTTGGTAGAATTAGTGAAAAGCTAATAATTTGGGCAGATTCTGTCTGGTTCTCAGAGGTTCCCACCAAAAAAACATTGCTAAGATACAATATTTGGCTGAGCATTTAACTAAATGACTAAACGTGTTCTGGTTTAGCTGCATTTGAAAACTTCATCTGTTCTAAATACCATTCCTACTTAAACCCACAAACATGGGAAGGCAGTTATTCTCAGTAATTATTCATGCATAAAAGATAATTCAGTAGATAAATTTTTAGCACCTAGCACTGGACCTAACATAATAGGCTCGTGCATGTTTGAATAAATGCATAAATGAACTTGTCATGTAATCAACAACAACAATTTTACAAAACCAAGATGCCTTGAGAAGCTGAAGAAACCAACCCTTGCAAAAGCAAAAGGTGATAATCACATAATTTTATTCAGCTTTCCATCATCCGTGTGTTTCTGAATGATTTCGACTTCTGGATTTAAAGTAGTCTTAACCTTTTTTTTCCTAATTCTTAATAGGATCTTTCCAATTAAAGATGTACCCCTGGAGATTGATGACCTTACCAATTGGCTCTATCAACGGTTCATTGAAAAAGAGGACCTCTTATCACATTTTTATGAAACAGGTACACAGCATCCTCTAAATAATTGTAAAATTGTAGCAACAATAATGGAAGCCTCTTTTTATTAATAAGAAAGCTATTTGCATATTAGATCTCGAAACTTGAAAGTACACTCTGTATAAATTGCCTGTGAGAAGCAAATCCCCTCATGAATCAGCTTACCCTAAAGGATTATCTGCAAGGACAAAGACTATTTGAAATGCTGAAGAGTGTTACCAAGATGACCTTAGGTAATATTGCTCTGAAGTGATCTAGCTTTCCTTCCCACAAACAAAAGTAGAGATACGTGTTTACTTTGTATTTCTTTATATTATTAAGATATATTTCCTAAAGTATATTGCCTTTTGAAAATGTCAGTGTTATACAACCACTTTTTTGTGGTGAAAAACCCTTAATTTATAAATACAGGACTTAATATAAATTATGCTATTTCAGAAATTATTTAATGTCAATTTCACACATCCTGTGTCTTGACCAGTGTGGAAATCTCTAGGGATCCGGTGGGCAGCAAGGCAGCTAGAGTGCCTGGTCTCATGCAGATTATATTCCAGTGGGAGACAGACAGTCAGCAAGTCTGCAGAAAGAACAAAAGCTACATCAGGACCATTACAGACTGGGGAAAATGCCAGGAAGGAAATAAACATGGAGCTGTGAGAGAATGACTGAGGCCAGGGAGGCGGGTATTTTTTCTACGAGAAGGATGCCAGCCATTCACTAACATGGAGGGAGAGCATCCCAGGCAGAGAACAAAGGCAAAGGCCCAGAGGCAGGAAACAGCTAGAAAGTTTGGAAATTTGTATTTCAAATGAGATCTCTCTTCCAAAGCAATGGAAACTCACAGAAGAAGCTTTACACACACGCCCACACACCCTCACCCTCTAGTTAACCTACCACTAAAGTAAAACAAATTAATATTTCTATCTTGTTTCCTAGGAGCTTTCCCACCTTCTAAAGGCCAGAAGGAAGCCGTGTCCAGGGAGATGACCCTCAGCAACATGTGGATATTTCTCATACAGTCTTTTGCATTTTTGTCAGGCTATATGTGGTACAACATCATTCAGTATTTTTACCATTACCTGTTTTAGGAATTGACTTGGACTTGTCAAGGTCACCATAGGAGTTCAGACTTTCTTTCATAAGTGTGCATTATTTTACATGTGCAAATCAGAATATGTAAAAAAAAAAAAAAAAAGCAAAGGAAATTCAATGGATGGATTAATATTTATCCCCCTTTGGGATATTTTAAAATTCTACTAAATGAGGCTTAGTAATATAATGACCTGCTAATATATTTTAAGAACTGTTCGTGTTTTAAAAAGATACACTCTACCACGTATTTACACAAACATCGCATTTGGAGAAGAGGAAATCATAAAATCATCCTAGAAGACCATCCAAGAGAAATTCTGTTGCCACCAGATGTACTTGGTAATTTATAATTTAGTTCAAGCTCAGAAAGTTGTATTAGTCCCTCTTAGCTAGTAGTCTAATTAGGGCAGTACTCTAGAACGCCCTCATTTGTACCAACTCGTGCTGTTACTAGAAATCTTGAGGGGAGCTGGTTAGCACCTTCTGAACTGTTTCCCTGTCATTTGCAGTGACAAACTCTAGTCCTCAACAACTAACAGAGGTACATTGTTGGCATTCTCTGTGGGGGAAAAGCAGTGTCCACCCACCCTGGTACTAGAATGTGTTCTTCACAAAGGTTAGCTCAGTCCAACGCTGTGTTTACATGCACTAGTGCTTTCCCTTATCTGATTTCTCATTTTATGTAGAAGGCATATTATAGATTGATAATTGTATTTTATAAAATGCACTTTTATCAAAGGCAAATAGAGCAAAGGATTAGTGATACAGCCTGAAAACAAATGTGGCATATCCGTGAGAGGCTGTCTTGTGTCTGGTGTTCACTTACCTGCCAGCAAAGCACCGCCCTGCTTGGGTCACCCCCTGATGTGATGCTTCTGTTTGTAGCTTAGAAGCTTGTTTGGGATTTTTTTTTCATTTTGACATTCATACTAAATGCATTTGGGGATGGTCAAAACAAATGAATATAAAACATTTAAATGATCAATTTAAGGGGAAATAGTCTAGTTTATGAGAAAAATGGGAGCTGAGTGGCTTATAATGGTGACAAGTTCTCACGTGGCACCCCCAGAACCTGTGCAGACAGTAGTCTGTTCTGTCGTCACACGAGGAGCTGGCCCTCTCAGGGCGAGTAACCAGGAGAGAGACCAGCACAAAAGGCTTCCCAGTCTCTTTCAGTTGCTTTTGAAGAGGATAAAGTCAAGTTTCTATTTCTAGAAAACATGTTTAAAAATTTGTCACTACATTCACATGATTTACCTCACAGGAGAACCATACTCTTCTCACGAAGCGCCGGAGCTGCGTCAGTGTGGAGCTAGAGTATGAGTTTTGCTTTGGGACTGCGAGACTATTAAGATCCTAGCAAGTCAGTGGTAGTTTCCTGTGATATGAGCGTTGTAGATTCCCCTGTTGTCACTAGTCACACAAATAACGATTCTGAGAAGTAGGCTATAAAAAATAAAGGCTTATTAATGTTTTATTATTTTTAAATAAACCAAAAAAACTGAAAAGATGTGAATCTTCCCCCAGTTACGTGGGAAAGGTAAAGCAACACCAAATAAAAGCCCACAGCAGCTTCATCTTTAGAGTAACTCAGCGCATACGTGAAAGAGAGTGACGTGTTAACTGAAATACCTCATCGAGTATTATACTACTGCTGGTCAGATGCAGAAGACAGTGTTAATGTGTTTGGTTTGGTAACGGTTGTTATGAAAGATAATGTTCTTGAAATCTAAGCATTTCGTTCTGTGTCCTGCAGTGACAGTGAACAAGTGAAACCAGTTTCGGTTTAGAGGTATGGTTGAAGATAGGAAGCCACTCAGAAGTGTGACCGTGCTTCTGTGTGAGGCCCAGCAAACACTGCTAAGCTACAAAGTGAACTGAAACTGTTCATTTGAGAGGTTAGCCGGCCATCTGGGGGAGAAGTTGCTCACTGTCAAGTATAGCACGCACAGTCTCGGCTAGGAGACTTTTTCCTCATTGCTAAAGCAAACACAAGGTAGAGTAGCCAGTTCTCCTATCCAAATAAAAACGCGTACCTAAGTGTGGCTTAGGGCCACTTTGACATCACTGTGCTCCAAAGGAACATGACATTGTTTAGTATACCGTACATGTTAAACAAACTGTCCTGTACGATGCTCTGCTTTTCAAGTGCAGTCTCATTTCCACAGTCTCCAGGGTGACAAATACCAATGGACGTGTGAATTAATTTTTGAAAATAGATTTGTGTCTTGTAAATAGATGTCTATTTGACCTGCCCTATCCCTCTTTGATTCTTTATCAACATGTTCTCTCTCTTCTGTTTGCAAAACACGTTTGTTTGAGAGCATTGATAGTGCTTTCCTTACCAGTAACTGGAGTTCTCCTGCTTGCACTAGAGAACGTGAAGAGAGAATCAGTGTTCTTACATGGCAATCTGAGGAAGCAGCAATATGCCACTGTACAGAACCGAATAAAAATTCCTAATTTGTACTTTCTTCATGAAGTGGGATGAAAGGAGGTTTAAAGGATGTATATTTTGTCAAGGGGAAAGAAAGTAAAATTGTGCCAGTTTTATACCAGTAGCTTGTAGAATCTCAGCACTTCTTGTTCTTGGCTGAACTGCCTAGGTTCCCAGGCAGATGGAGTTGAGAACTCGCTGCTGGAATCCTGGTATCAACACGTCACAGTGATGGAGCATCTGCTTGGCCACAGGCGAGTCCAGCACCTATAAAAGTGACCAAGCCAGCAGTTCACTATTAACTTCAGAAACAAGTATTGGTGTTGAAATATGCATATATTATAGAGAAACCTATAAGCAATGGGAAAGGTAAAGAGAAATTACAGAATGGAAAATGATATTTGGGTGGACAAATTAGTTGAGAGTCTAAATAGTAGATTTTTTAAAAGATAGCTGTGAGTTCAGATCTATCATATTATTAGTTTTTAATATTACACCCAACCCTTAATTTTCCACAGCAGAGGAAGTAGGCATTACTAGATAATTAATTAATTAACAACTGGATAGTTAATCCAGTAATAACTGATAGGTAAGCCAAAAATCTAATTTCATTTAGGAGTTTGAATTTTTATTCCCATCAAACATTTTTTTCCTCTTAGGGATGCTTACTAATTTAAAAAAAATTATTTGAGTTGTTTATTAGTTTCTTTTGCATATGTATTTATGACTGTGTTAGCAAGTAGTGAAATGATATGGAAAGACAGACAGCTATCCGGAAGAGGAAATACAGAAACCTGAATAATCCACGGGGTAGAAAAGGATTCCCTAATAGTCAAGAGTTGGCAGCATTGAAATTGTTCTCAAGCCTTTTTATGAAAATGAGATCTTAAATCACCAAATGTAAACCTCAGAACGTCATTCTAGCGTTGCTGTCTTTGGGTCGATGTTAAGAATGCCTCTTCATTCTTTGCTCATGTTGCGCACTTCTTGTGGATTTGTCTTCGTAATGTTTTTTGACAATCACTTCCCTAAAGACCCTTCTGAACTAGTTAGACCTGGTTATAATCCTAGAAAGTATTTGTCTTTAATCATGGGTAGTCTTCTTGGATTCTTTTTATATTTGAAAAGAAAATGTTTTATTTGCACTACTGAATAGGAAGAGTTAATTGTTTTCTTCGTTCTTTTTTTTGAAATCATGACACAGGACTTCACTCCAGAGTTAGCATTACGAGCACGTTCAGCTCTGGTCCGCAAAGGATGGATAAAATGGTTTGTTATATTTTTTGCCCTGCAGTGCTGAGAGCCTTACGTCTGTTAGCATGAAAGGCAAAATCAAAAGCAGCACCGGGCAGCAGGAGGCATAGAGACTAACATGTTAAGGACCAAAACCACCTGAGTTGGAAACTTCTAGATCACAAAGGGGCCAGATATTCTCTGGAGCAGTCATTGGTTGGTGCTTTATTGTAGTTATTTTGCACCAATCCCCAACAATTAGGAACTGGACCCTGGGAATAAGCTGAGGGTGCTGAACTGTTGGGGGAGGGTGACTGTAGCCATATGGAAGATAAAATATGGGTTTTTCTGCAAAATTTCCATCTGAGGATTTTTACATTTAATATTTTTAAAGACAGTTTAAAGAGCAAAAAATTTTTTTAAGTGTATCTAGTTGCAAAGTATGCACACATATCTTGAATGGCTTTATTTTTATTGTGTAAAACTGTTGAACACATGACCGATGCACACATTCTTTACATGTAAGGAGTCTATGCATTTTACAGTAACTTATTTTATGATTGGGTAAGGAGATGGCTGTACATTCAACTGCCATTATTTTTGTTAAATGCTTTCATTTTCTTTACAGTTATGACAAAATTGTATTTATTTTATACAGATAGATTTTTGTTTTCCTGATGCCGTAATGTTTACTTCAGCTTATTGACCTTTCTTTCTTTGTGGTATCTGCATGTTGTAACGTGTGATCAGATAGATTTTTGTTTTCCTGATGCCGTAATGTTTACTTCAGCTTATTGACCTTTCTTTCTTTGTGGTATCTGCATGTTGTAACGTGTGATAAGAATGAATGTAAAGGCTGTGGCAACTGTAATTAATTTTTGTAAAGGGCTGGTCACATGTGGATCTGGTTTATGAATGCATTTGGGATGATTTTAATAACCAGATCACCTTTTCAGAAATTTAGATGTGAACACCAAAAGAAACATTTTCTCAACAAAAATTAATAGCTGGTTCTATTTTTTTTTAACCTAGAAAAAATAAAGTTGATTTTTTTCAAGTAAAGTGCTTTTAATTCTTAGTAGTGGGGATGGGGGACTTGCGATTTACTGTAGCTATGTGGGCATTAACATCTGTAGGCGTGTGTACTTAAAGCATACCTTGGCAGTTGGATGCTGAGGGCAAACTGCAAAACCAAATGAAAAAATGTCAGACTTCCTTCTTTGGTTTAAAAATATTTCCCCCCTCCTTTTCATTCTCCCCATCTGATGGTGTGGTGGTAAATGTTTAACAGTCTGCTCTCCCTGGAAAAAAATCATGTATACAAGCGTACATAAGTTTGTTACAAATTTTACTGATAGCAAGGATGGATAACACAATTAACAAACAAGATATAAATACTTTTTTGTAAATCCCATATAGCCAATTGATTCTCA